GATGTATAATTCTTACAGCACTTAAAAAATGTGCTACTTCCTCTGGCCTGTGTGACTTCAGATGAGAAATCTGTCATTAGGATGGTTGTTCGCGTACAGGTTTCTCTCTTTCTGGCCGCTTTCAGAGTTTTAAATTTGTCTTTAGTTTTCAGCAATTTGATTTTGATGTGTTTGGGTATGTGTGTCTTGAATTTATCTTTCTCGCTCAGCTTCTTGAATCTTGACTTTTTCACCAAACTTGGTAAATTTTCAGCCATGATTTCTTCAAGTATTTTTTTTAGCATTTTCTATTTTCCTGTGGGGCTCAGATGACAAGAATGTTAGACCTTTTATTTTTGGCCCCCCAGGCGCCTGAGGTTTTGCTCATATTTTTCCTTCTTTTTCTCTCTGTTGGTCACATTAAATGATTTCTCTTATCTCTCTTCAAGTTTAATGACTCTCTGTCCTGTCCATTCTGCCCTTGGATCTATAAAGTCTGTTTAGTTATATACTTTTCAGTTCTAAAATGTTTAATTCTTCTTGAGTTCTATTTCTTTACCAAGAGCTTCTATTTTAACTTTGTTTCTAGAGTGTTCATGATTGTTTGAGCATTTGTATAACTGTTTTAATGTCTTTGTCAGGTTGATGAAGTTCTAGAACCTAGGTGAGGTTCGGTGGGCTGAGGTCCGGAGCCGATGACCAAGAAAGAATTCTTGAGACATCTTTGGTGCAAAATGGTGGTTTATTAAAGCACGGGGACAGGACCCGTGGGCAGGAAGAGCTGCTGCCCCGGGTTGTGAGGGATGGCAGATTATGTACCTTGCAGTTGGGGGAAGGTGAGGGGAAGGGAGGTTTCAACGGAACTTTCATATGCTAAAGAGGACCTACAAGGTGCCGGGATATCGGAGGCCTTGCCTTGCCACTTGATCAATGTTGTCTTTTGGCAAGCCATTCACATTTCTGCTATTAAGCATCTTTGTTAGTGAGATTTAGGTTTAGAAGAGATTTAACTATATTTACATTTCCTTCTACCTCAGCCTCCTTCAGTTTTGTTTATGGTGGGGAGGGAGACATTAGGGCTTGAGGAACTGAGTTATTTGCCTCTGGAAATTGTGCTATTGATAAGGTAACTTCTTTGTTTGTAGATCTCTAGGACATTTGTCTTGCAGGATTGTGATCTCTGCAAGTTAACTATTTGTTTCTCGTTTATGGCAGTCAGGGGTGCCTGAGGAATGTCACACACATTACCAAGGGGAGCGGGTGGAGAGGGGGTGCAAGGTGCCAGCTTTTGCTTTGTCTTCAGCCAGCCTCCTGCTCCCTCACCAAGATAATCCCAACATCTGAATCATGTCTTCATTGGTGACTGTCAGTGGTCTTTTCCCATGCAAGTTGAGATTTTTGGATCCTTCATATGCCTTGTAATTTTCAATTTCTGGGCATATTGAATGTCATGATCCTCTGATTCTTGTTTAAGTCCTAAGGAGAATGTCAATATTTTTATTTTAACAAACACTTGTTATAGTTAGGTATGGGTCATATGTTCCAACACTTCTTCTGTGGCTGTGTTCCAAAGTCAGTTCAGTTTTCAAATATTTTGCAGTGCTATTTGGCTCTGTCTCATGAGTGCATCACACAGTGGCTATTGTGGAACCTGGGCAGAAATCTATCTGTTAGCATAGTTCTCAAAGTCTTTATATGCCAATTAGAATTGGATCTATGGTGTGCAGGTCATGGGTGAGCTCTAGAGTTCATAAACAATTTTATGGGATTGCTTTCCTGAATTTCTCCTTTTGCACTGTTTTCCCTTACTTTCCACTTCCCTGGGACTTCTCATTTTGGTCCTCTGACCAGAAAAGTTCCGCTTCTGATGAGTAACTGCCCACTCTCACAATTGTGCCACAGCAGCAGAAAAACAAACAAAAAGCAACGCAGTTTCTCTCTTCCCTCTTGGGGTTGCAGCTTCACTGAATCGAGAGGAAGATTACTCTGCTCCAGAGTTTTGGCTCCTACAGTTTTCTGCTGCCTGCCATTTTTGATTCTGCCATTGCTCCTGACACAGGATTGACTGACTGGAGGCTAGGGTGCAAGGGAATTAAGTAAAAAGAGAAGAAAAAACCCCAGAATTTTCTCCACTGTCTCTGAGATTTTGAAGTTTCTTTTTCTGCTTTATGAGCCAGACCAGACGGGTTCTCCAGGGTCTCTCTCTGCCCATCAGTGCTCACCTCCAGAATTGGGACTGTACTGAGCCAGGTTTGAGGATACCAGAGGAAAGACAGTAACATTGTCTTTGGAAGTACCAATCAGTGGTACTTCCAATTCTGGCATTCTTCTTTGATCCAGCTGGAGATATTTGCTTTTCAGAGACCCCAAATAGCTGTGCCATGAGTTCTGTTCAGGTTTTATAGTGGTGTTTGGTAGGAGAGAAATTTTCATGTGTTTTCTCCATTGTACCAGGAATCAGCCTTGAAATCTCTTCTTACTGGCTTTCATAGCTTCTTTGTGCTTTACACTTTCTCTAATCCTGAAATCTAAGTTTCCATGAGCTCAGATTTGTCTCTCTTCTTTCCTCAGTATGTTCTCTGTCTTGGAGAGATCATCCCTTTCTAAAGCATCACAGGATCCTCTGAGGCAGGTAATTCCTATAAATGGGGAGAATCTTTATTACTCCCCCCCACAAAGATGATAGGTCCTACTGGATATTAGGTTGGACTACCATTCCTTTGCAAATTCAAAATATTTACTCCTTATGCTACCTTTTCTGTTAATGATGCTTTCCTCCACCTGAAACCCACCTAAAGCCCTTTTACGGTCAGTGCTGCTAGAGCAGGATGCATATATTCCAGTATCACTCTGCTATGCAAAATCATGAATAAAAACCAGGGGCCTTGGGGCGCTTCGCGGCTTCAGCATCACCCGGAGGCCTGGTTAAAGCGCAAATTGCTGGACCCCACCTGCCTCCAGGTGTGGGATGGAGCCGAGGATTTGCCCTTCTAACAGTTTCCCTAGAGATGTGAAGCATCCGCTTCTGCTCTGAAGGCTCCCTTCGGAGATCCCCGCTTTGCAGTGACTGGGAGCTTTATGAAAGATTTAGATGTCCTATCTCCCCTCCACCTAGCGAGCAGCAGGCTGGGACTCCGGCTAAAACAATACTAGGTGTAAGGACCTATTTTGTATTTTTATTTTAGCCAGAGGCTTCCATTGAGGTTAAACAATAACTTTGTTGTTTAACCCTTAAACAGTCCCTGCTCCCCTTCCCCCAGGGGACTTAAAAACAAGTCCTGGAAACCAGCCTCAGGTAACAAAGCTCAAATACAATTGTGGGTCCGGCCAGGTGGAGACATCTATCAGTGGGGGCGCAGACTGTCTCCTAGCTACCAAGGTGGTGGGCTGGTTTCCATGGCTACTGTGGGGTGAATTGTAATTCAATTAGCCACCTGCAAGAGGCCAGGCCCAACCACATAGCCTTTGCTCTATAAAAGTTAGTCTGGAAAGCAGGGAGGGGTTATCCTGTGTAAGGGGCGACCCCCACTGGTCTGTTTGACGGTGGGTCTGATTCTTGATGCTCGGCGCAAAATAAACCTTTGCTTGACCTTCGCTTTGTATCCGTCTCGCTCCTTTAATCACGGACCCATTATTGGGGGACCCATTTTTGGGGGGGACCTAACACTAGGTCAACATCTCATTGTCCTCACGGGCTCAGAGAGAAGCCAGAATAGGAGAGCGGTGGGCGCACCTGGGCTAGAATCCGGCCTGGTCGGCCCTCAGCTGCGTGGCCGGAGGCGGACGCCAGGGGGCGGCCTCGCGCTCGCCCCGCCAGGGCTGGTTTCCGGCCCCGCCTGCGCAGGAGGCCGCGGATCCCACTGGTGGCCGTAGGTAGGCGCGGCGGGCTTGGAGGTGTGGCGGAGAGGCCGTGGTGGATCGCGGGGAAGGGGCGGGCGGGGGCGCGGAGTCCAGGTCGACCCGCGAGAGCGAGGGGCTGGGGGAACGGGGGCGGGGGGGAGGCGGCCGCGGAGGGCGGCTGGGCTTCCTGCGGGGTCTGTCCCTGTTGGGCGGCCCCCTCAGCCCCTCCGCGTTGCGCCTCGCGGCCCAGCTGCACCTCCGCGCGGCGGACGGCCGGGCCGGGGCTTCGGCTCCGTCCCTCCGGCGTCCGCTGTGCCCCGCCCCGTAGTGCAGCCGCCGCGCGCCGCGTTCCGGCGCGGGCCTCCGTGGTGGGGGTCGTCCTGGGCCTCGGTTCGTGAAGGCTCAGCGGGGCCGAGCGGTCTTGTCTCCGTCCGTTTTGCCGTGCCCGTAGCACCTTAAGGCTAAGTAAGCGTCCGAGATGTTTGAAACAATTTGAAACAAAACGCTGTAAAGCGCCGTGTGTCCTGGTGGCAAGATGGGATTCCGTTCTAAATTGTACTGGGTGGCACCCGTTCGTTCCTTCTCTGCTTGAATCGGATACTCCGTAAATCGGTAAAAACTGCTTTTGTGCTCTTCCTTTTCTTTCTTGTAAACGAGCTGTGAGTGTAGAGCAGTGGTTTCCAGTTTTTTCCACTGCTAGCTTGTAGCTACCAACGTGGGAAGTTCTGTGTCTCAACAGTGCCTGCATTTTTCCTGACCCAACTGGCCCCACAATCTCCATTCCTTGTGAACCAGCAACGATCATTGCCATTTTGCTTATTTTTCTACCGCAGAGTTCCTTCAGCCACACGGGCTGCTCCAGAAATACGCCTTTAAGGGAGAGAGCCCATCAGGTGTTGGGGTGCGCCAGAGAGTCCTTTAAGAAATGGGCAGTCTCAGGTGTACCCCCCCACCCCCACGCAGTGAACGTGCTATGTTCAGTTCCGTCCCACACCTGAGGGCTGCAGGATTTATTTAGTTATTTATAAGAAGATTTTACGACAGAGGGAGACACAGCGAGAGAGGAAACAAGCAGGAAAGTGGGAGAGGGAGAAGCAGGCTTCCCACTGAGCAGGGAGCCCGATGTGGGACTTGATCCCAGGACTCTGGCATCGTGACCTGAGCGGAAGGCAGCCGCTTAACCGACTGAGCCACCCAGGCGCCCCCCGGGTTGCAGGATTTAGAGGAATAAGGTGAGTTTAAGGCCAGAAAACTTGGCTCCTCCAACTACAGTTTAGTGACCTTGGCTACATCACTTCACCTCAGTTCTCTTATCTGTTAAATGAGAATAATAATTATACATGTCTCACAGAATTGGTGTGAGGTTGACACTGTTAAATTTTTGGGTGAGTTTTTTTCTGAGGATGCAGAAGTGGATCTGAGGGCTTAGGGATAATTGAAAGATTATTGAGGCATATAACTTCAGGGTCCACAAGAAATGCATTAAATGGGTAATTCTGTGGGGTGCATGGGTTCCTTAGTTGGTTAAGCACCTGCCTTTGGCTCAAGTCTTGATTCCGGGGTCCTGGGATCGAGCCCCGTGTTGGGCTCCCTGCTCAGCAGGGAGCCTGTCCTGTCTCCCCCTGCTTGTGGTCTCTCTCTGTCAAATAAAATCTTAAAAAAAAAAAAAAATTGGGTGACTGGGTAGTGATCTAATGTAGATTAGAAAAAATGAATTTCTAGAGTTCTGCAGAATTTCCTACCTGATGCTGGCAGCCTTTGTGTGGAAATGAAGGAAGTAGTATCCCTCCAAAAGAAAAAAAAGCAAAAACGATAGGCTTCAGGCCCTATACAACTGACTCTCCTACCTGTGGCAAGATAGGATCGAGGAAGGTCACAGCAAGGGGGTTGGAGAAGTAAAAAGATGGTGAACTCAGACGGGAGGAGGTGCTGGAAGCAAGCATCAGAGGACAGGCACATGAACAGAGAACAGATTCGGTGGGAGTGTGAAGGTGGCAGAGAGGAGTCCTGAGTGATCTGGCGGGCAGTGCATTTTTACTGAGTGCCTGTTGTACACCAGCTGCTGAGGACCCAGGGGTGGGCCAAGCAGGCAGGCAGTACCCTGGTTGCTCACAGTTGAGGAAGAAGGGATGCACATGCCAGAGCCTGGGCGTCTCACGGGGGTGACTTCAAGAACAGAGGGAAGCTCAGGGCCTAGAGTGCGGGGTGCAAGGAGGCGTCTGGAGAGGTGGACAGAGGCTGGAGCTCAGGGGGCCTTATAGGAGTTTGGGCATTGCCCTGAGGACAGAGAAGGACAAGGTTAGTTGATTTTAAGCAAGGAGTGATCGGATTTGTGCTTTAGAAAGACCACCCTGTGTACGCCAGCGAGACACTTCCCACATGTGCAGAAGGAGGTGTGTACAAAGCTCGCTTTGCTGGTGGTATCGTTAAACAAGTGAAATTGGCAAACTCGAGTTGGATGTACCTGCATGGATAAACCTCGTAAACCTAATGTTGGGCTGCCTTTTTTTTTTTTAAAGATTTTATTTATTTATTTGACAGAGATCACAAGTAGGCAGAGAGGCAGGCAGAGAGAGAGGGAGAAGCAGGCTCCCTACTGAGCAGAGAGCCCGATGTGGGGCTTGATCCCAGGACCCTGAGATCATGACCTGAGCCGAAGGCAGAGGCTTTAACCCACTGAGCCACCCAGGTGCCCTTTTATAAGATTTTATTTATTTACTTGACAGAGAGAGATCACAAGTAGGCAGAGAGGCAGGCAGAGAGAGGGGGGGAAGCAGGCTCCCTACTGAGCAGAGAGCCCGATGTGGGGTTCGATCCCAGGACCCTGAGATCACGACCTGAGCCGAAGGCAGAGGCTTTAACCCACTGAGCCACCCAGGCGCCCCTAAAGTTGGGCTTTTAAAAAAGCAAGTTACAAAGAATGGATACAGTACAGCTACTTGTATACAGTGTGTAAACATCGATACATTATGCGTTGTTATTTATAGGCACAAACTGGTGGTGAAAATAAAAAGTGTGTGTGGAAATTCTATACACCAGTGGTTCTTGGGCTTTAGTGTGCATCCGAATCCACTGGAAGACTTGTTAAAACAGAGATTTCTGGGTTCAGGAGATTTGGAGAGAGGATTTCACCTAAGAGTTTCTGGTTTGGGAGATTTGGAGAGAGGATTCCAGAACTCAGATTTCTCACAAGTTCTTAGATGCTGCTGCTGCTGCAGGTCCTGGGACATCAGCTTGTGGATGGTGGTTCCTTCTTGGGAGGGAGCAGAATAGGACCTGGAGGGGTCCATAGGGGCTTCAACTATATATATAATATTTTATTTCTTTATTCTTTATTTCTTTATTTTATTTTTTTTAAAAAGATCTTTGTGATGCACCATTACTTGACAAAGCTGGAGGGGTGTTCATGATCTTACTTTTTAGTTTTTTTCTGTGCTTGAAACATTTCAGGAAGGAATGAAGTGTCTATTTGCTGTATGGAGAATGGACTGGAAAAGAGAAGGAAGTGGGAGTTCGTGCAGGAACCTGTTGCAGAAGCCCGGGTAAGAGATGCTGGAGACTTAGACCAGGGGTGGCAGGGGAAGGGGAAAAGTGAGCAGAGTTGGGAGAGGTTTGGGTGAAAGAATTGACTGTGCTTGGTGATTGGTCGGGTTTGGAGGTTGGGGGAGGGTGGAACCAAGTCGCCTGTTTTGTGACTTGAGCAAGTGGGCATTGTATGCTTGTGACAGTGAGGGAACCCTGGAGGAGGGGCAGAGGACAGAGTTAAGTTCTGGACATCCCAGGCCTTGACAAACCAGCTGAGTGAAGTGTAGGAGAAATACCCAGGCCACTGTAGAGACTTGGAGACCAGTGCCATCTCCATGCGCGTGAGCAAGATTATACAGAGGGAAGACGCAGGATGGAAGGCTGGTCTGCAACAGACCCACAAGAATAGCACCATCCAGTGCAGGACTCAGCCAGCCTCTGCCTGCCACCTGCATTTGTATGACCTGTGAGCTAAGAATGCTTTGTACCTTTTGAAACGCTGGGGGGGATATCAGAAGAGAAATAATCTTATGTGACACATGAAAACTTTCTGAAATTCAAATTTCGTTGTCCGTATGTAAAGTTTTATTCAAACACAGCCATGCTCATTGTTTCTGTAATGTTGGGGGAGGCTTTCACACCCAGGTGACAGACCTGAATGACAGTGACAGAGTTTGTGGCCTGTCATGGCTTTACACTGCCTCTTGGTGCCCCACAAGTCACGTGATGCAGTTGTCACTGGATTTCACCTTTTGCCCCTAAACCTAATATTTACCATCTGGCCCTTTACAGAAAAAAGTGCTGTTTCTTGACCTGAGGTCTGAGTTGAGACACACTTGGTCATTTCGAATGTTGTAGAAGAGAGATGGCGGTTGTTTTATTCATTTCTGTAAGAGCACCTTCTAAGAATCAGGTACCAATAGAGGAAGCCCGTGAGACCGTGAGGGCTGAATGGGAAAACTCATCGTAGTTTTACTCAAAGTCCCTGAAGACAGGAGGGAATGGGCCAGAGAGAAAGACACGGGCCCGGAGTCTTTGTGGGAAAGGTGAGCGAACAGCCATCACAACCCCAACAGGCACAGCTGGGAAGACTGAGGGGCAGGTGAGCAGGTGGCACTAGGTCAAGAAAAGGCGGAGACTCGAGTGAGGCTGGAACAGTGCGGTAGAGCCAGGGTTTGGTGGACACCTCGTAATCACAATGGGGATTTGCACAGCAGCATTTTAAAAAATTAATTAGGATGAACTATATGGGGGTTTGGAACCATCCATTACTTCTAAAATGTCTTGCTCAGAGAAAGCAGTGTCGCTCTGCTGACCCTTGGTGGGGGTCACTGGGGCTGGGTCACTGGAAGAACAGAGCAGTTGAGTGTTGAGGATCTGAACGCTGAAAACAGCAGATTTGTAGGGAGGGGGCAGACTTGTGTTTGGGAAGCATTTTTGTTATCTGTTCACGTTGAGATATAATTCACATACCATTAAGTTTGCTCTTTAAAGTGTACCGTTCATTGATTTTTAGTATATTCACAAGGTTGTGCAATCATCTCCACTAATTCCAGAACATTTTCATCCAAAAAGAAATCCTGTGCCCATTAGCAGCCAATCCCCATTTCCCCTTTCACTCAGCCCCTAGCAGTCACTAACCTGCTTTCTGTCTGTATGGATGTGCCTGTATGTACATTTCATATAATACAGTCCTACAATACAGGACCTCTTGTATCTGCCTTATCTCACTTAGCATCAAGTTTTCGAGTTTCATCCATGTTACAGCATGTATTAGTGCTTTATTTCTTTTTGTGGGTGATTAATATTCCATGTCTAGTTATAGCAAATTTTATTTGACCATGTATGGTCAATAAGTCAATTTTATTTGACTTCAGGTTATTTCTACTATTTGGCTGTTAGGAGTAGTGCTGCTGTGAACATTCATGTACTAGTGACTAGGGTTCATGCGAATGTATGTTGTCAGTTCCCTTGGGCATATACCGAGTGATGGATTTGTATGGGTAACTCCATATTCAACCTTTCGAGGAACTTCCAGACTCTTTTTTCCACAGAGGCTGCATCATTTTATATTGCCACCAGCAATGTATAAGGGTTCTATTTTCTCACATCTTCGTCTACACTCGTTCTTGCCTGACTCTTTGACGACAGCCGTCCTGTTGGGGATGAGGCGGGATCTCATTGTGTTTTGATTTGCATTTTCCTGATGACTGATAAAGTCAACGTGCCTGTTGGCTATCGGCCTGTCTTTTCTAGATAAATGTCTGTTCAAGTCCTTTGCCCATTTCCAAATTGAGTTATTTGTCATTTTACTGTCGAGAAGAAGTAGTATTTTGAATTGTCCGTTGGGACATTCTAGTAGAGATGTCAAGTTAGCGGGACTGGGGCTGTCAGCAGGTGGGGACAGGGAGCCCGAGTCTGGATAAGAGCACCCAGGGCATGAGTGCAGAAGTCTGTCCAAGCCTCTGACTCTCCATCAGTCTATAGACAAAGGCAAGAAGAGCTACCAGAGTGCACCTTCCTGGGAACCAGGTCACAAAGGCATTTCAAGGAGAAGGGAGTGATCAGTCATGCCAGATGCCACTGAGTGGTCAAGCCCGTGACTGAACTGATTGCTGTGTTCAGCAATAGTGAGGTCCTGGCAATTTGGTCACTGTGGGTGGAGTAGCCTTGGGTTCTAGAGGAAGAGGGGGAGTGTTGGAGATAGTAAGCATAGATAGTCCTTAAAGCTTTAAAGTCTTTATAGCTGCAGTGTGAACTTAGGAGAAATGCTGTTTTCTGTGAACTTTGCACCTGGCTTGATGGGTGTGTTGTCCCAGCGCTGTGAATGGTGGGTGGCCTGACTATCTCCAGGAGAAGGTATGAAAGAGCTGTCTTCAGATTTTCTTCATGGCTGTCGCGTCTCAGGCCTCTGGTCTCGGTGCGAATCCTCGGAGAGGTGTTCTAGGACTGCTTCATCCAGGGATTTCCTCTCTGCTAGTCTCTATCCTTAAAAGCTCATCACAGTATACAAGGAGAAGATTTTTTGTTTCTTATTTATTGTCTCTCCTCCACTGGTTTCTCCCTAAGGTCCAAGAGGACAGGAACCATATCTGTGTATTTACTCACAGATCCCCAGGGCCTAGAGTGGGATTGAGCATGGGGAAACGGCTTCATGAACGTGGAGTGAATAAGTGGTCGGCGTTTGGTGATGGAGGTTAAGGGAGCGCGGGGGGGGGGGGGGTGCGCGGGGCGGACTCTGAACTCAGACCAGCTGCCAGGGTGCCACGATGGCCACCAGGCTGTCGGAGGACTTCCTGCGGCTGCTCTCCATCCTGGGGCTGGAGGGGGACGCCCAGACCCTAAGAGGGCCCCAGGAGAAGACCATCTGAACTGTTGCCGTTTGTCTCTGTGCAGAGTTGCAGTTTTCCTTCAGCAAACCTCCTTTTTGGTACTTCGTGGCAGAGTGTTTTCAAACCCATGCCTGGGACCAATCAGGACACTGAGTGACCCAGGTGTCTGGGTGGAGGCCTGAGCTGGGAGAACGAAGGCGCTCCTGGAAGGTAACCCTTCATGTCACAGTCGTTTCAGACACAGGAAGCACAGGGTCAGTTCTGTCACTAGTGTCCGCAACACATCCCAGTACTGACACTAAGAGAGCGCACCGTTATGCCCATCATCCTAGTTAAAATATCGACACTCTTCCACTCTGGTTCACACGTAGCTTCTGCCTCAGGCACCTGAGCGTCAAGCACCTGACCTCCAGGGTCCTTCCGGCCCTCTCCCCTCCTAGCCCCTCCGCCACCGCACAACTCAGCAGGAATGCCCACCTCCACCGTGAGCCTCCCGCCGGCGCCAGCGCTAGAACTGAGCCGCTGAGTGTCCAGCCTTCTCGGTGGTTCCTGGTGCAAGGGTCACCCACACGTCACCCTCTCTCCGTTCTCACGACTGTTACTCCAGCTCACGTGCTTCTCAGCTCGGACCCCACACGACTGCCAGAGCCCTTGACCCAGTCTCCCCACCACCATCTCTTCCACCCTGACACATCTGTCACGCCTGTTGAAGAGGAGACTTGCTTCTTAAAAAGTTAGGGAGCTTTCTAGTACCTTCCACGGATTATCCCAATTCCTTAGCTGGTTCAGGAGGCTGTCAGCATTCTTGCCCTCACCCCCACCGTATCTGATCTTGGCTGCTCTCCTCTGTCCATCTGTCCTGGCCCCACTGGACTAACAAGTGTGGCTTGCTTTCATTTTGCTCACTCCTGTGGGAGGGACACAAAGTCAGACACACACAAACACCTTCCTCCTGGTAGAATCCAGACGAGCTGATAATAAGACACTGATTGTGCAAACAGCTGACACTGAGCATTTAGAATGAACCTAGTACGGGATACCTTCTTTAATCCTCCCAAGGACCCGAAGGCATGCAGGATCCTTGGGCATAAGAGGACTGAGAGGCTGTGCCTTCTTTTAACCCCTTGTCACTCAGACACCTTCATGATTACTTCTTGTTTGGTGTCACATCGCAGGTACCTGCAGAGGATAGCAGCATGGACGGGAAGGCCCAGGACAGCAGCAGAGGCCTTCCCCGCAGAGCGGTGCCCCCAGCCATGGGGCTGCTGCTCTCCATGGCTCTCATGAATGCTCTCCTCTACCTCTGCCTTGACTGGTTTTTCATCGCCCCTCCCCACTCCACTCCGGGCTCCACCCACTGTCCCCACGGACATTTCAGAATGGGACAGATGAAAAACTGTTCACCATGGCTGTCCTGCGAGGAGCTGAGGACAGAAGTGAGGCAGCTGAAGCGTGTCGGGGAAGGAGCCGTGAAGAGAGTGAGTGCTGGCTTACATCTGAGTGTTAATGGGGTGACCTTTCAGGATGGCAAATTGGCATTATGTGTGAAGGGTCCTCAAAATATTTCTGCCTTTGAGCCCAGTGGTCTCACATCTGGGACTTATCCTAATCCAATGGAAGGAAAAAAGCTAAATGCATCAAGGAGTATTTTGCTTTGTTATTTATAGCAATAGAAAACCAGTAATAAAAACTATTGGATATAGTTAATTATGGGCTAGCCACTTGATAGAATATTCTGCAGCCATTAAGTGTGTTTAGGAACCCTGTGTGGCAGCAGGAAAAAAAATCTTATGAGGATAAGTGAAAAAAGCAAAATGCAAAACTGCATAATACATGATTTTCAACTGCAAAATTAATGTGCTTATGTAGAAAAATACAGAAACGATAGAAATTAGGCTATGGTAAAAAGATTTTGGGCAGTTTTTTTTAATTCTTGTTTTTCAAGCCCTGGCATGGGATTATATTGACTTTTTAAAAGTTTTTTTATTAAAAAAAATTTTTTTTATGTTAAAAAGAGAAACCAAAGGGGTGAATTCAGATGCCTCAAAAGCTGTTGTCTGTAGGCAACCAGTGTGTGCTGGCTGCCTGGTCCCTTATTGGTTCTGTGGGAGCTAAGGCCCGCTGATGCCTCTAGAGGTCAGAGAAGGATTGTTGCACAGAGCTCCTTTGTGAAGATGTATTGAGTGGCAGGAGGGAGAGAGGGAACAGAAAATGCATCCACATGGACACCTGGCTTTTGTTTGGGGAGACCAGTGCACCATGAATGTGGAAAGGAGACTTTTTTTTAAGATTTTATTTACTTACCTGAGAGAATAGTGATAGCAAGAGAGATCACAAGTGGGGAGGAGAGGGAGAAGCAGGCTCCCCACTGAGCCGAGAGCCCAATGAGGGGCTGGGCTCGATCCCAGGCCCTGGGATCATGGGTAGACCCTTAAACAACTGAGCCACCCTGGCGCCCCAGAAAGGAGACATCTTGAAGGAAGAAGTCAGGGAAAAGGGAATGGAATTTATGCAAAGTAAAACCATAGAACAAGGTAACTTTTTAAAAAAGATTTATTAAAAAAAAAAATTTATTCATTTATTGTCGGTGCTCGAGCTGTGGCAATGAATAAAACAGAGCCTGTTGATGCTTTCTAGTTGGGGGATGAGACAATGAATAAGAAATAGATGCTCAATAAAATATGTTAATGACATGTGCTGGGAAGACAGCAGGGTGAGGAAGGAGCCACGGCTCACTACCCTGGGTGGTCAGAATGATCTGAGAGTGAGCCCTGTGGCTATCTGGGGAAAATATGTTCTAGTAAGAAAGATGGTACCAGCAGAGTCCGAAGATGGAACATGCCTGGTTGTTCAGGGACCTGGAATGAGCCAGTGTCACCAGAGGGCAGGATGAGAAGGGAGGTAGCACATAAAGTCAGAGGAAAGCCAAGTGGTGGCCAGAGCATGTGAGGCTTGGTGGGACCAGGAGAGCCATTGGAGCAATTTGAGTAGAGGTAGAATGTGTTGTATGTGTGGAAAGGAGGCTGAAGTGTTGGTGAGGATGGAAGACTGGCTGGGCCTTGCAGGGGAGAGATGGTCACAGCTGGACAAGGGTGTTAGCAGTGAACCTAGTAAGAAATCAGTGGATTCTGGTCATGTCTTAAAGGCAGAGCCAGTAGGATTTCCTTTTTTTTTTTTTTTTTTTTTTTTTAAAGATTTTATTTATTTGACAGAGAGATCACAAGGCCGAGCAGCAGGCAGGGGGGTGGGAAGCAGGCTCGCCACCCAGCAGAGAGCCCAGGGCGAGGCTCGATCCCAGGACCCTGGGATCATGACCTGAGCCAAAGGCAGAGGCTTAACCCACTGAGGCACCCAGGCACCCCCAGTAGAGTTTCCTAATAGATCACTTCTGGGGTGTAAGTGAGGGAGAGGGTGACCACAAGGTTCTAGGTCCAGGCAACAAGAAGAGTAGTGCTGTCATTACCTGAGCAGGGAAGAATGGAAGAACAGATTTTGTGTGCATGAGGTGAACATGTTAAGGCTGTGAGTGAATGTGAAGGTTGGATATACAAGTCTAGCATTTGGGTCTGGGGCAATGGGTGGGAATATATATCTGGGATGATGCTGAAAGCATTAGGATGTGAAGAACACACCAGGGGGGGATGTGGGTAGAGAAGAGGACTTAGGCCCCGTTGATTTCTGTCTTCTTCATGACCTGGAGGGGCTGTCCGCCCACTTGTTTCCAGGTTACTGCTCAGGTCATTTTTGGACTTCTTTTTCAGAATTGCTCTTTACCTTGAAGGATATACTTTTGGGTAGGTAGCTTTTTTTTTTTTTTTCCTTAAACTATTTATTTATTTACTTGAGAGAGGAATAGCAGGGGGAGGAGCAGAGAGAGGGAGAGAGAGAGCGTCTTTTAAGCAGACTCGGTAATGAGTGTGGAGCCCAACACAGGGCTCAATCCCATGACCCTGAGATCATGATCTGAGTTAAAACCAAGAGTCCAATGCTTAACCTACTGCCCTATCCAGGCACCCCTTCAGTAGGTAGCTGTGATGGTGGCGAATTGTTGTTGTTTGAGGACAGATTGGATTTGGGGGATGCCCTACAAAGCATGCCCATGCGAATATGAGGTTTAAAAATGTGGATAATAACTCTGAGTAATGTAGTTTTGTTTATTAAAGTGAAATAGGACTGTAAGGCCATTACATTGATTTTCTTTTGTCTTTGGTTGAAATTTGCCCTCAGGGCAAGAGTATTTTGTGCACTGGATATTTGCACCATCATTGATGAATCTCGTCCGTCCCCCCACCTTGAGCCCTGGGGCCCAGGACACATGGGGGTCCCAGCACAGGGCAGCCTCTTATTCCTTTGCATAGTCACTTATTGGAACAACTTGCTGCATGTAACGTGTTTCCCATCACTGGGACCAGCTCCTCCACGCGGGCAACACTCCGCACCCTAAGCTGAAGGCATAAGCTTCCTCAGTAGGAATTTCTGTAACCAGAGTTCTTGGCATCCTGCTCTCTGACCACCTCCTCTCCCAGCGCCCTTGCTTCAGTAATTCCTCAGTTTATCGGGACCTGTGTGTTGATCCCATGGTGGTTGCACTGGGTCTCACACTGACCCAGCAGCAGGGACTCTGTGGCTATTAGCTTCAAAGTCAGTCTTGTGCAAACACATCGTGCCTGGCTGGGGAGCCCCGAACCTGGTTGACCCCAGCTGTGCATCTGCATTCGAGCAGTTGCCCTGGAGGTAGAGAGGTCCCACAGCCCTGTGGTTTCATGCGCAACCACAAACCTCAGCCCGGCTCTCACCACCACCCAGCGGTCCTGTCATGTTCCTTCTGCGAGTTTTCCTTCCCCCTTGCCTTAGTTCATGGTCTTGTTGCATAAGTTGTTATGGAAACAGGAGCTTCCCAAACAAAATTTCTTCATCTTCAGTCACCTGACCTGTAAGCCCTCCAGCTCAGGTGTCATGACTTCTCATGATGTCTCTTCCGGAAGCTGTCCACTCTCTCCTGCACCCTCAGTCTTCCCTACTCCGAGGGTCATTCTGACTGGCACGCAAACACACACCCTTTCTCACAGAAATCCCTTTCCCCAATTCCCTCTTCCTCGGAAGCTCTGTGCACGTTCTCTTTCCTCTGTAATGAAATTGCCAGAGCTCTGTCCCTACTTCTCTCCTCCCATTCACTTGTCTTCTGCCGGGATGGCTTCCAAACCACCCTCCTGCAGAGAAACTGCCCTTATCCAGAGACCTGCAAACCCTGGGTTGGTCATTTCTCTATCTTCCTCTCACTTGATCTTTTCTGCAGCCTTTGATACAATTGGCTCCTCTGTCCTTGCGACTCTGGCTCTCTGTGCCGCCACCTCTTTACAGTTTTCCTACTCCCTCATGGGCCATTCCTAATTATCCCTCTTGCTGCCTTCTGTCCCCTATCTTGCCCCTAAGTCAGCAGTTCTCCACCAGAAGTGATTTTGCTCCTAGGGGGAGCATGTGGCCAATGCTCTCTTTCCCCGGACTCTATTTGTAGTTTGTGTTTGCGATTGCCTGGAGCAATCCCAGTTTGACTGAAAGGTAGATTGACCCATTCTTTTTCTTTTTTTTTTTTCTTTAATTGTAAAAGCAGTACATTCAATTCAAATTTACGGAAGGAGGTGAAGTACAAAGTAAACTGTTCCCTTCTACCTCTTGTCCTCCCCATCTCTGATCTTATTCTCTGAGGATAACAGTGGGAGATTTATCCCTTTTAGATTTTTTTTTTCCAGTGAATTTTATTTCATGTGTATCTTTTTTATTTTTTTTTTTACATTTAAAAAATTAACATATAATGTATTATTTGCCCCAGGGGTACAGGTGTGTGAATTCTCAGACTTACACATTTCACGGCACTCACCATAGCACATACCCTCCCCAATGTCCATGTCGTGTATCTTTTTATTAAGTTTTATTTATTTATTTATTTATTTTTTTAAAAAAAATTTTTATTTTAGATTTTTTTTTTTTTTTTTAATTTGTCAGAGAGAGAGAGAGAGAGAGCGAGAGCGAGCACAGGCAGACAGAGTGGCAGGCAGAGGCAGAGGGAGAAGCAGGCTCCCCACCGAGCAAGGAGCCTGATGTGGGACTCGATCCCAGGACGCTGGGATCATGACCTGAGCCGAAGGCAGAGGCTTTAACCCACTGAGCCACCCAGACACCCCCATTTGGAAGGATCTTATATGATCTATGTTTAATGCTCCGGGCTGTCTGGAAAACAGATGTTACCTGAATTGTATATATATATATTTATTTATTTTTATTTAGAGAGAGGGCACATTGGAGTGTGCCCACAAGTGAGGTGGGGGCAGGGCAGAGGGAGAGAGAATCTTAAGCAGGCTCCACACTGACCCACAAGGGGCTCAGTCCCACAACTCTGAGATCATGACCTGAGCCAAAGTCAAGAGTCAGACCCTCAAGCGACTGAGCCACCCAGGTGCCCCTGAATTGTATATT